ATTCATTTCATTTTTTCCCCCATTTTTCGTATTGTTCTTATAGAAAAGTTTCACTATATTAATGATATTCTCTTGATATGTTCTTGATATTTTTTATTATTATGATAAACATGTGTGTGTGTGTGTGTGGTGGATAAACTTTAACATTATATATAAGATTTCTCTCTCTCTTTGTTTGTTTGTTTGTGTATCAAATATTCTTTCTCATTTCATTAGTTTTTTCTTTTGGTCGGGGTAAAAAGAGATTGATGTTATTGAATATGAAACTTTCACTATAGATTCACCATTCACACACACATATATAATGTTGGAATATTTTTTTTGTTTTCGATGTCAATGTTTTTATTGTTGTTGTTGTTGTCAATGAATCCAATGGGAACAAAAAAAAAAGTTTTTATTGTTTTTTCATCATCATCATTGATTTGTGCCGGTAAAATAAAAACATATGTATTGGATGGATAGATAAACAAACGAAAAACGAAAAAGCCAAAAATCCTTGCTCATCAATGGATTAACATATCTAAATAACTTTTTTTTTACTGACTATATATTATCAATATTAACAAACCATAATGACTACACTATTGTAATGTTTTGATGACATCCAAACCAACCAAACAAAACAACAAAAAAAGCTTATTGAAATAAACAAATTACTATTGGATCAATGAACAAAACTACTACTACTATTTTACTATTACTGATTGGAATCATGAACTGATTCATAAAATGAAATGAAATGAAATGAAATGAAATGAAATGGATGAATGAAACAAAACAAAAAACAAAGAAGAAAAAAAAAAGATTATGGAAATAACAGAAGAAAATATATAATGTCAATAGGCCAACATCATCAAGAATACCCAAACACAGAGAATCAACTTATTATTATTTTTTTTGAGACCATTATCTTACCCAGTTTGCTTGCTTCGTTTTTTTTCTTTTTCTCTCGATAAATAAATGAATGAATGGAAAAGACCCAAAAGAAGAAGAAGAAAAAAAAATTTGTTGTTCCGTTTGGTCTCGACATCTTCGTCGTCACATTTTATAGTGATGTTGATGGCGATGGTGGTGGTGGTGATGGCGACGGTGGTGGTTTTATTTTCAGTAAAGATCATTAAACATTGTACGTCGTCGTCGTCGTCTTCGTTTTTTGTCAGCAACCAAACCATATACACTATTAACTTATACACAGAGACACAGTGAATCACGAATTTCCTTTCCTTTTTTTTCCAATGCGCATCCACAGAATTTTGCATCTTTTTTTCTTCTCGAGATTCTTTCAATCCCAAACATTCGACTACATCTCTTTTTGGTTATTTTCTTGGTTGCCAATTTTTACATTTCGAATTGGAAAACCAGTTTCTTTGGTTCAGTCGGAGAAAAACCAAAAAAAAATTGGTTTATTTTTTGTTTTGAACTTGGTTGTTCAACATTACATTTTAATTCTGGATCAAGAAAACAACAAAAAGAAGAATGGATCTAATGTGATTCACAAACACACACACAACACACACACGACACATTAACCAAGATAGCCAAAACTAACTAAACAAAAGAAAAAAAAAAGAAAAATCAACCAACGAATCATCCATCCATTTTCAACTGTTTTCAACAAAACCCAAAAACCAAAAAACCGACCATCTTTACATCCATCCATTGTTTTTTTTTCGTTTCTTTTCTTTTTTCTTCTTACAAAATAATACATCCATTTATCCGTCCATCCATCCATCCATCTATAATCATGTTTTCATTGAATCTTATTCATCATCATCATCATAAGCATTATCATTATAATCACCATTGTTATCAATGTTGTTGTTGTTGTCCAACGGTATAAAAGGTTTTTTTTTTGTTTTGTTTTTCCTTTTAAATTCATCTTTTTATTCTCTTTTCATCATCATTTTGTGATGTTTTTATCAAAAAAAAATCTGTGATCCAATCATCGAAGAAAACATTAATCAAACAAGACAAGAGAAGAAAAATGTCGATATTATTAATTTGTAAAGCCATCAATATTTGATGACAAAAATCTATTAGTTTGAAACAAAAAAAAAACTCGAATCAAGAATCAAAGATAAGAATTATCTAGATAATAATGGACGACAATAGCGAAAATAAGAAAATAATTTCATTATCAAATGATCATGATGGCCAACAACAACAACAAACAGAAAAATCAATCAAACCACAATCATCATCTTCTTCTTCATCATCATTATCATCATTAACATTTAAAATGTCAAAAGATATGAATGAATTTACTTTTCCGAAACAATCAATGAATGAAGATAAATTAGCTGATACTAATAATGCTCAAACATCATCATCATCAATGATGACAACAAATATGGATAAAAATTCAAGCAAACAAACAACACAAGCGACGATAACAAAAACAAAAACAAAATCAATAAAATCAGCATTATTTTATAGTGCCAAAATTAAACGGAAATCATCGATACCATCATCATCAACGACATCGACGACGACATCCAAAACAAGACATACATCAATTGAAAATGTATCATCATCCAATATGATTGGTAGTGGTAGTAGTGGTGGTGGTGGTGGTGGTGGTAATTTACCACAAACACCACCATCTATTTTCATATATCCGGCTAATTCACCTGAAGAATATCAATATCATGAGCTAAATCCATTGAATGTACAACAACAACAATCAACAACAACAAAAATAATGACCACAGATAATGTTGGTCATAGACGTGCCTCTGTTACAAGTAGTAGTCAAATGACCAGTACTGCTGCTGCTGTTCTAGACAGTAGTAATGTTAGTAATATTTCTGATACTAATCGACAACAACAACAAACAACATTATCATTAAATCCAACAGGAAAACGAAGAAAATCCTGGGATCAAAAAGTAACCCGTCCTATAAGACGTGCTAGTCAGGCCTTAATAAATTTAGCAAATGTATCCGGTGTATTAACAACCGGTAGTGATAATGTAACAACACTTAGTTCAACATTATTTGGTTATAATTATGGACAATGCAGTCGTCGTGATTCACGTTCTAGATTACAAGAAATAATATTAATGTGTTCATCATTTCAGAGACTTCCAATGAAAGATTTTGGTGCTGAAGTTAGAGCTTCAATGGATGTTGATCAATTTTTACAACAAGCAGTATTATTATTGGATATAACTGAAACATCATTAGAAGGAATTGTTGATCGTATGTTACGAAAGGTTTGTATTATTATTATCATTTTTTTACTTTAAAATATTCATTTAAAAAAAACTAATTTTTTCAACAAAAAATAAAAGGTAATCGATGGCCGTGAACCATTAACAACGCTCAAAGAGGCAAAAACAGCATTATTTACACATGATTCGGGTGAATGTAAGTTATTGATTATTTGTTATCTAATTTTGATTACAAGTTATTATTATCATTTGTAATGATGCGATTATTAATTATCCAAAAAAAACATCATTAGTTCTGAAAATTGTTTTGAAATTACAGTTTTAGTGCAGGCACACTCCTCATCGTGATGAGTATACTTTCAATGTATTACGATGATGGATATTTTGATTACAAAACATTTTCTATATGTTTTTCGATACTGGATCATAATAATAATCATACCGAGAAAAAAATAACAAACGAAAAAAACAAAAAACAAAAATAAGCAAACCACATGATCGCATGATTTCATTTGAAATTTGATGTGTGAAAATCTATCAAGAAATGAAAAAAAAGTCCACTTGATTCTAGTTAGTTATTTATTTATTCATTCAAATTCATTCATTTTATTCATCCTAAATGTACCTATCAAACATTTAGGATTAATAATAATGGTCACTTGATTATTATTTTCACCCAAAAACAAAACAAAAATTACAAGTAGCAATTAGAAACAGCTTGAATTGTGGAGAGAGAGCGAGCTAGAATAATAATAATAAAACGCAATTTATGTGTATCGATTTGTGGTGAATAAGGACAATCCATCCACTTGTAATATTATTCAAACAAAACAAAAAAATCCAGAATCCATTATTATTATTATTATTATTATGAAAAATACAAACATTTTTTTTTCTTCAATCAACAATACAAAATGTGATGAATTTAAAATTTGACAAATTTATTCTGTGTGTATCAATATGATATGATAGTTCTTTTTCTGGAGCTTATACATTTGGTTTCTGTTCTTTTTTTTACTCTTGTTTTGTTCATGTTTGAATGAACACTTTATTCATTTTAAATGCGAAAAATTTCAACAACAAAAATAAAATTTCAGATTTTTTTCAGATTCTGTTACCAGAATATTTGATCCGAATTGCCAACATTCAGAAATTCTGATTTGATATTTTATTAAAAATAGTTTTTTTTATTGCCATTTCATCACATCATAATACACATACACTCAAACACAAACACCTCCTCACACCAGAAGAAAAACTGACAAAATTCAATCATTTTATTATTATTATTATAAATTCACACCGTTTTCTTTTCTTTTCAGCAGCAGTCTAATTTATACGTTTTGTTTTGTTTTGTTCGTTGTAGTAATAGTAATATCGTTTGATGAATTAGATTTGCTTCAATCATTCATTCATTTTGTATTTTGTATTTTTTTTTCATTTCATTCAGAATATTCAATCAGGAATATATTTATATTCCATTTTCTTTTTTCGTTTGTTGCAAATTTTTTTTGTGTGTGTAACAAAATTTTTTTTGGTGTTTGATAATAATCATTCTAATCAACATCATTATAATAATAATAATTTGAACGAAAATGTCAGATTTGTTTCGTTTTTTTCACTTCTTCCTTTTCATTAGAATTTCTGATGCTGTTGTTAATATTATGATAATATTATTGCCCTATTTTTGTTGTTGTTGCTGCTGTTTTTTTTCGACTGAATATTTTCTGACTGATTCATTCATTTGTTCTCATTTGGTCTATACGACAAACCTATTCCATCGAATCCTATCCTGTGTTAATTCAGGAAAGAAAATCAAATGTAATCAGTGAATAAGAAAAAAAAAGTATAGTATAAGAAAAGTCTTTTCCGTTTTTTTTTTCTTCTCACACACTTTTACTTTATAGAATTCATTCTATAGGATTTTTGATTGAGAAATTTTGCGCCCGAATGAATGAATGATGTTGAAATGAAATAATTTTATGAGAAAAAAAAAGGAGTATGTGTGTGAATAAAAAACTGAAATGAAATGAATGAATTAAATACGCTGACTACGACGACATTACTGTGGTGGGAGAGAGTGTGAAAAAATTTATTTATTTTTTTCATTTTCATCATTTCATTTGATTTGATTTTGATTTTCAACTAACTAAATAATATTAAAATGTAATTATGATTTTCATTTCTTCATTTCATCATTTCATTTTTTGATGACGTCTGGTATTTATCATCATTGTAG